TCGTTACTTTTGGGAAACACTGAATGATGTTTCATCATTGATCAAATAATTAATTTTCTGACTTTGTAGCTATCAACTCAGATACGCCAGCATAGACGGAAAATTCATGATGATTCCCCGCTCAAAGGAGGAAAGTTGAACAATAACTAATAGTGCATTCTTGTCGGTAAACCAAAGGAAGAATTATTTCCACTCTATCTGTCGAGTGCTATAGTTATATCCAAAGCTACTACCAGAGACTCTTCATATTTTCTTTGGATATTCCAATTTCATCATCCATTTATTCCCCATGAATTCTCATTAGGAATCTCATAAATGTTCATAGAATATTGTAAATATAGCATTTGTAGCTTCGCACGACATTCTGGATTACTGATCCCCACATGTTACAAAACCATTTTGTTCCAGTGCGGTTTCAAATATGCTAGACCTCAAAGATGACGTGAGCAAATCTATTTCACTGTTGCTAATTTTTAATGATAAGTGATGAATTCAGCTCTAATTTACCATGATACGAAAGCGACGTTTTATGGGGTTCAAAACTTTCTTTCCCAAAAATCAATCACTCCTAAAAATATAACCCCTTCAATTCAAATAAGATTTCTCTTGGCTGGGATTTAATCAAATAGGTGAATGAATGTCATTACGATGTCATCGATGACATCGTAATGACATTTATTCGCTCATTTGATTAAAACACAGCCATAGGAATCTTGTCTGAATTGAAAGCGGTGTAATTTAATGACAGATTATTTTTTTCGGTTAGGAAGGAAATTCCCACATTTTTTGTATTAATATGGAGAAATCGAAAGCCAAAACCTTTCTTTCCCAAAAATTGATCTGTCTCAAAAATATACCCCTTTTATTGTTTATATGAAAGTAGCTGTTTCAGGAGGACTTTTTTTCAGTTTGTGTCTGAAAGTTACTTCTTTGCATGATCTACACATCCATGTATAGCGTAACTTATTTTCTTTGGAAGATTCCCTCATCCCTTTTTTTGTATCAAGATGGAGTAGTAGAAAGCCAAAAACTTTCTTTCTCAAAAATTAATCACTCCTAAAAATATAACCCCTTCAATTCAAGTTTCATACCTATATCAAACGCACTATTTCCTTGGCATATAATCATTTGTGACTCGATCTCTTCATCTACATTTTTATACCACTTTTTGAAGACAGTAGGTAATCGTGTTGGCTACATAATAATTTTAGGAAAATTGATAAATTTTCATTTTCATTCGAAACCAGTTGAATGTTTCATTCAAATGTATAGCAGTAATAGCATCTCATTAATTTGTGTCGACCTTTTTTCGGTATTTTTACTTTTCACAATCTGAAAAAGTATAAAAACTCTAATGGAGAACTTTATACAGATGTAGAAAGGGGCAAACTTGTTAGTTCATCCCGTACTGCGTAAATTAAAAGTTTTGCACAAAGAAAAATGTTGTATCGATCAGTAACTTGTCGTATTTAATAATTTTTCTCATCATTGAAAGAGACGAGGAGTTATACAGATATATTTTATCTTATTTTGATTGCAAAATTATTATATACGACAAGTATATTTTTCTTTGCAAAAAACACTTTTAATTCCGTGTTAGGAATCATACCTTGAAAGGTGAGACCTCGTTAATCCTTATCTTGCACACACCTCAAACAGATTTTAAACAGAATTCTCGCGGTAACTTATCGGTGTGAATTAAAAAGTTTGCTCTTTTTTATATTTGTATAAAATCTCCATTACACTTTTTACATTTTTTCAGGTCGTGAAAGGTGAAAACCAAAAATATCCATGAAACATCTTTTCAATATTATGTGGAATTCAATGAAACCGTTTCAAAACGATCATATATACATATACACAATAATCGTCATCATAAATGGTGCTAAAATAATTGTAGAGAATCTTTGTTCGATGAAGTACAAACGGACCCCAACAACCTATAGATGGTAAATCGGATGACTATGAATAAAAATCAATTAAAAGAGTTCAAACTCAATCAAATCTAAAAATCCGAATTGAATTCAAAGAGTTTCATCGTTGAAAAACCAGGTGACACATATTGCGGAAATCGAATGAACTGAGACGGATGAAATTTCACAAGGGGCTCAATCAAATCTCATCAATCAGCGCAAAACCTTTGTTAGTCAATATTCCTGATGGATTTTTCTAGGTGCCATCATCAAGCTTACCTCTCTTCTTACAATTTTGAGTTTGTATTCACCCAAACGTCCTTTAGGATCCCATAAAAAAGTTTTTTGGTAGAGAAAAAAAAACGATTTTACACTCAGTTTTTAATGGAAAATGTTGAGGATCAGTAAAATTTGTTATTAACGAAACATATTTTCAAATTACACTAACTTCGATACACGGACAGAAATCAAAATCAGTCAATGTTCACTGTGGTTCTAGCGTTGAATTTGGTCATTATTACGCCTTGATCAAAGACGAAACGGACTGGTTTAAGTTTGACAATAGTTTTGTCACGAAGTGTTCTGGCGATGTATTGAATTTATTAGAGCCTCTGAAGACACCCTACATTATGTTTCATGAGAGAGAAGATATTGGCAGATCAAGATCTTCAGATGATGTGGTGCTGCAGCTTTTTCCGGATTTTCCTGCAGCTGAAAAAGCAAATGCGCCACTGGAATCAATGAAGTCGCCCCGGAGGGCCAATTGATTTTTATAATTGTTTTATAATTTCATGATTTGTAATAAAAACAATATATTCATTGAGGAAAAAATGAAAAATATCGCTTCACGATTTTTAACCTTTACATCAGATTCATAGCCTGAAGAAGCTATTGTATAGTGAAATAGGTACTGCGATTTTGTAATTTGTTATTCGAATACAAATTTTAATATCTAACCATTGCAACCCCTTCAATATCTAACACATATAACGACTATTTTACTAGGTATACAACATTTGTCAAACGCCTCTGAGGTATGTTGTTGAAAAGTGTTGTAGTGTCTTCTTTCACAATAGCTTTATTCATTCAATCGGTTTTGAAGATATACGAGTATCTATGGGTAGCGCAGGAAGGAAAATGAATGTTTGTTCCTTGAGAGTTATCCACAGCAAAATAATTGAAAATTATATGTATGATTGAAATCAGAACTGTAGGATATTCAAGTGAAAGTGATATTTCTGGAAGAAACGGGGTGTATGTAAGACAGCTTGTTCAAATAAAAGCATGGAAGGGTCGCGGATTCTTAGACAAACAAAGTATCAGAGATTTTGCAAATTCATTTATCGCTTTCCATTTTTAAAAGCCGAGAAAGCATTTCATGATGGAGGAAGATTTGCAAAAAATTTGAGAAATCTTTCGGAGTTGGGTTTGAATGCAGTCTATTAAACGATGAGGGTCATATCGACAACAGTAGACTGACATGTGTAATCATTCATAGGTATCCATATATTAACTACCTTGTTATCACACCGTTTTCAAACTTTCCAACGGACACGTATATTATTCAAAAGTATTTATATATTGTTGTCCTCATTTACGTAAAGAGTGAGCCTTGTTACAATCCACACTGACTATTTGGGTATTTCACATTTGTTCTGTCTTTGTATATAAGAAAACCTGTATTTAATTACATCATCAATATTATCACTATTATCTACAGAACACGTCTGAAGCCTAATTAATTTCCATCATTTCTTCATGTTTTGGTAATTCCTAAACATTTTAAAACTCATACTTAACTGGAGAATAAATGCGTCTTTAATTCTTGTTTATATCTGTTGTAAACTCATTTCTTTTCCAAATATCTTTGATTGAGGTTTTCCCGATGATGCGTAAAGTAAATCCGAAGTTACACAACACTGAATGCCTTTGTCCTCTGAATGAAAATTAAAAAACTTCGGAATTATTAATTGCGAAAATTATTTAGAGGATCAAACTCTCGCGTTATAGTGAAAATATGAAGTACAAACAGAATATGAATAGTATACCGACGAAAGAGAGAACTGCTTAAATATAATTGAATATTAATAGAATTACGAATGATTTGGACCCTTTTAGTATTTATTAGCATTTCAACTCAAAATGAAATGTACAGGATTATACTCACTACATTTTTTCACATTATGTTCACTATGAATTACACAATTTATATTAAAAGTTCTCTCAATTATGTTAATTCATGTATTTTGATGTATATTATACCAAATCTATATTCAACAAAGGCCTATAAAATGATGATATTATTATAATAAATCATAATATATGGCCAGAAATAATTTTAGACAAGAGTATATTAAATTGAAATACTGGATTGGCTTTTTCAAACAATCGTTTCAAAAACAAAAACATATTTGAGAATTTTTGAATATGGAGATACTTCAGAATCAGTAGCTATTAGTTCGGACGAGCGGCGACTAAAAAAGCGAAATAAATGCAATAATTTTGAAAAAAATGGAAATTATTCAGTTTTAACCCTAAAATACTCAATAAAAGTTATTGAATTTGAGCGTAGCACTTGGTTATTAGTAAGTTACATATTATTGGTAACGACGATTGTTCATAGCAGTATTTTTTTCAGGAGTATTCACTCCTGATTTTCATAAAAGAGACACTACCAAATGAATGGTATTTGATGAAACATAATCCAAATGAATCTGGAAGATTCATTTCCAGATTGATTGAACTATGAACCATATGAACCAGTATACAAAATTCAATAACATTTAAAATATCTAGCATGGAAATAATTATTTCAAAAAAGAAATACAAGCCAATGTTATTTGGTTATTGACGGATTCAAAATAACCACTTGTTCCATACAACAGAACTGATGAAGAAAACTGTTTGCTTCTTCTTCTGAAGACGCCAACTTTGTGGGTGGAACGCGCGTTGAGAAGAGTAAGTATTGCAGTTTTGGTTTTGGGAAAAGTGCTTATTTTCGATTTATTCTGCTTCCAGAGGTTCCTGTTTCACCTTTAATTATTTAGATTTATCAATATCCTTTATTTTCAGTAATTTCTTAAAAATTCACAAAAAATCTAGACTCCGTTACAAGATATTTCAGTGGGGGTGTTTGGTTTCATTCTGAAATCATTTCCGAAATCTTTGTTGAAAACATCGTCATCTTCGGGTGAGATCGAGTCGTTCATTAAAGCTTCTAAAATATCATCATGTGTCTTTTCATTATTTTCATTCTCTTCATCCGAATCTGCCACAAGAATTGGAGTTGCGCCATCGTACAAGTTCGTCTTGCTCTTTGATCTTTGGTACATTTCTTTGGATACGCTTCTGGTAAAAGATAACCTCTTGGACTTTTGTCTTGTAAGAGGTGGGCGAGAAAATATTTCTTTTCTGATAGACTTTCTGGTGAGAAGTTGAGAGGCGTGCTCTGTTATAACTCCCCACGCATACTCGACGTCATTTTGTGTGGCGTTTTCAGCAGTTACGCAAAATCTAATAATGTATTTATTTTTGACCATCGATGGGATCATATGTATCTTTCCAGAAGCGTTTATGGTTGCTAGTAAAGTTTGGTTAACCGTGTCAGGTGCAATCAATCTGAAGCATACTAAAGCTAGCCTCACATCGTTCACAACTTCAAATCTGTGATCTTTCCGTACCAGAGATTCGAAGTGCTTTGCTAACCTTATATGATTTCTAATATATTTTTGAATACCAGAAAGTCCATATTTTCTTATAACGAACCACAATTTGAGAGATCTAAACCGCCTGCTGAGGGGTATACCCCAATGTCTGTAGTCTATTGCTTCATCCGAATTGGCATGCTGCAGATACAAAGGATCCACTATAAGAGCGCTAGTAAGAGTAATCCGACATTTTACCCACAAGCAAGAGCAATCATAGTTGGTTAAAAACCATTTGTTGGTGTTGAGGTTGAAGGAATCAACGTGTTCAATGCCTTTCATGAACACTTTGAGCTCCGGACAAATAAATGCATTTCCAGCATATGCTGCGTCCACATGCAACCAAGTACAGGGTTCGGCTCTGCAAACTGGTCCAATTTCAACCAAATCATCAAAAGAGCAGCTGGAAGTGGACCCAAGAATGGTTGAAACAAAAAAGGGAAACAACCCTTTGGATTTGTCTTCTTCCATTGCATTTTTGAGAATATTTTTTTTGAGACTACCATTTTCGTCGGGTTCTAAGATTCTGATTCGGACTAGAAGTATCTTGGCTGCCTTCTCTACACAAGAATGAGCTTCTTTCGAGCAATAACAAACTAGTTGAGGGAGAAATTCGCTATCTTCTGCCGAAGGCTTATTCTTCTTCAGATATTGAATGGCTTGGTTCCTTGCAGCAAGCATACACACGAGAACGCATTCACTCGCTGATGTTTGGATAACCCCTCCTCCCTTACTGCCTTTCACAGAAGTGATGAAGTGGTCGGGAAGACCGATAGCCTTTGCCATCCAGTCCATAACGATGGTTTCGAGTTCTGTGCAAGCTGGGCTGGCGGCCTGCAATAAAATAATATTGTCAGAAATGAACACTTATATTCAATATTTAAATATGTTCATAACCAGAAAAACATTATTAACTATCTTTGCGTGGAAGTAAATATTCCAAAATTGTAAACCATATCTCAATTGGTATCCACAATGATAAGACCATGAAATAATTCAGAAATGAAGGTTAGATATGCTATAATTTCGAAAAACATGTATTACGTGAAATTCTGGAACAATGGCAGTAAAACTTTCAGCAAATTTGTATAATTTTATAAGATTTCGAAGTAATGAGATATCTCAAACTAATTCGAATATAATGACTATAAATATTCATGTTTTCTGCAATATCACGAAGCCTAAGTAAATTTGAATTTGTAGCTTTGAAATAATCATAATCATTTTATTGATAATTAACAACATGTTAACAATCATTTGATGGCTTTTGTTCATTTTATAGGATGCCGTTTTTCATATTTTGAATTAAAAAAGGAATAAAATACCCCTCCAATTTTTTTTAAAGAAAACATGTGAACCATGTAGAATTGAATTATGATAATTGAATGGTTTTTAACTTTTATCGTCATTTGATGATTGCGCAAAAAACTACAGATTCAATATTAAATTTGAAATAGACTAGATGTAGGAGACGATCTGTGAGTGAACGTTTCTGTTTTCACATAGCTTGTAATGAAGAAATATAAAATATTCATTAAGGAAGGACACTCAAAAGTCCATGCCAAAATTATGTAAGATTGCTTATCTGCCTCATGCACATGCGTTACCAAGGATGTAAAACATGAAAAATATTTCATTTTTAAGGTTAATTTCCAATGAAGATAAAATATTTTTGAATTTTCCAAATCAATTCCTAAAGTAGGTACCCTTTTCACTTAACTTTCATTTTACGAAACTTATTTCCAAACTAGTGTGACTTTGCTCTAATTGTATTCAATAACCAATAACAAATGATCAAACCAGTCACAGAAATCCACTTATCTATTTTTACATCATTTACATTTACAACATCGTCTTTTCGTTTCATTCACCTTCAGAGTTAAATTTGTACAAAAATGAAACTAAATGATTTTTTATAGACTTCGAAGAACTTTGAGGCAAAAAAAGTAGTGCCTCAGTTATAAGTACTTTTTTCTCAACTGAAAAGTAACAAGTACCATTCAAATAGAAGAAATGTAATTTTAGTTTTGAAATATTATCGTGAAACATTGATTATGAAAAAAAAAAGACTAACTAGACTCTAGAGTATGTGTTACAGATGCGATGTGACCACCTAAATGTCCAGGACATTGGTTCTGTTGCTTTGCAAGTATACAGAAATAACTGCCATTATGTATATCATTCACATAAATAATACAGAAGACATTTTGATCATAAATAAATATTTATTGCAAGTGGAGTCATTCTGAAATTCTGTTTGTTCTTAGAAAAAACCGTAATTTCCGAAGTTGTTATTCAACTTACATGACATATGTTACGTCTACCCTGTATAGTATGATCCTAGATAGCAAGTCCGTTAATATAGATGATATGTAATATAAAAAACTTACACTTTGAAAATAATGATAGTTAAGGAATGGTTCGTAATTGCTTTCTCACTTCCGGGACAATTTAATTTAAATAATTAACTGTTAACCGATGAACGAAATAGAAAAAAATCACTTGATTGCGATCACCACAAAAACTATAGAATCACACATATACCAGAATAAATAAATCAAGAATAATACATTTCCAACTTGAAATTGAAATATGTATTACTTGAAGAGTTAATGATCCATCGTGTAAAATTTTTAGTGATAAATTTGAAACATTTATAAAAATAACATTTTTTTAACAGTCTTTCAAGTCAAATAACTTGGCAAAAATCCTTAAAAGTTTGGTAATGAATATAAAGACACTCAGTGAGATAATTCTAGGTTTAGATTTAGAATCCAAAATTATTCAGTATAGTTCGTGGAAAAATAAATTAACTCATCACGTGGCAACAATTTATAATATCAAATTATTTCAAATGCAGAATCAGTATCAAATTTATTGTCACTGAAAAGTTTTCAATGATCATTAGTTTATATGAATTGTTCATCTTAGCCATGAACTCAAAGTTAAAGAAAAAAACGGTATATATTTGGACTGGAGACTGGTTTGAAGAAAAATAGAGCTCATTTTATGTTTTTTTTTTTCAATCTTGACCAAAAAGTATATTTAGACCTTTTTCGAATTAATTGAAAGTGTTATTGTTATAATCATATAAATCATATATTTTTCATTCTAGAGATCAGAAATCGAATATCCATTTGATTGAAGAGATAAAGGCGTCAGAAATTTTTGCAAGGTTGAAAATAAACACTATTTTTAGTCAAATTTTGATAAGTTGAATGAGTTTTTTCAAAAACGCCTTTACGGTGATATCTTGTAATCGAATCACCAAGTTGTATTATTGTGAGGCTCAATTTTTTTATATGCACTTTGATTATTCAATTGTGATTTACTAATGGTGATTTTCTATATGAGGTTAAAGACAATTTCTAAAATTTATGAAATCCTCAGCTCTTCACAAAAACTTATGGCAACAAAAGTTATCATCCTATTTTCATTATCCACGGTAATTGCCAATTCAACTCAAACTGAAAAAAGTATGTTGTTGAGAAAAGAAGCTTTTTGGTTTTCACTTCTCTATCTTTATACAAAAAATTATGGGCAACTTCCACAGGAAAAGTGGAAGCCAAAAAGTTTTTTCCAAAAACTAATCTCTGCTAAAAATACATACCATTTTCAATTTGACTATGTTGTGAATTGAATTTTTTGTTTAAATAATGACATAATTCAAAGCCTAGACAAACGAGTGACTGTATTATTGAAATCATATTCTGAAAATAATGCTTACCCATGAAAATCCAATGCATCCAATAGCATCGGACAGCATATCACCTAGAATTGATGGATATGAGTTGCCACTTGGAAAATATGCATGAAATTGAGGATGTTGCCAATGTGTCACACCAGGCATGATTTTCTTTTCTACATCTTCCATAATAGTGTCCCACTCTTCAGGTTCTTGAGGTGCCTGACTTGGTAATAACTCCTTCAAATATCCTGGTTCTACATCTGGAGTAACACGATAGTTACCAAGATTTGTCATGTACTGGCAGATGTAGTCCACCATCTCCTTGCCACGGGTTCTGAATTCTTCAACATCCATTTTATATTTCCTTTCTCACTAGTTTAAAAATTCAATAAATCTGACACCAAAACTGCGCGTATTTGTTTTTATTTCACGTGTCTAGCATTGTATGCTTGCTATCGGTTATTCAAAAGAACTGTGCCTACGGATATTCTCGAACTACTTTTATAATTCAAATCTGATGAGTGGGGATAATGCTGCGATATCCTTTAATTTTTAAGATAGCTTTTTGTTCAGGATGCTGTAACGGATTATGGGCATTTGGGAAGTGGATTATTTAGTGTCGTATATTATTTTAGTATACAGCGTCCTCGTTTCTACAGTGACTACTTTTTTATTTGTTAGTTCCGGTTATGACTATTTCTTGTGAGCAATAGAAAATCAACAGAAATGTATTTCTTTATCATCGATCATACTTCTACTATAAAATGAAGAAATATAGTATGAAATGAATAATTAGACATGGTTCCTGACTTCGAAATGTCAATGTGAAAGAAATCGAAAAAAAATATATTTTGGTTCACAGGTGTCTTTGCCATGTAAAACCGAAGGTAGTCTATGTCCAACTGCAAATAACAAACCCCACTTTGTTCATCGTATATTATAAAGTCCCCAAGTTACGTCTGTCTGTCTGAACGCTATATACTCAAAATAGCAAGTATAGATTTTCATAAGAATTTACCAATAGACGAAGTGATTGATTGTTTTTCTAAGGAGACAGTTGTTCTTTTGATAGTTGAAACAACTGATAAAAATCATTGCAATAAGCATCTAGTTCATTTTCCAAAATTTACATTTCAGGCGACCCAAACGAGCGAGAGAAAGAGAGCAACAAGGTTTTGATAAAAATATTCATCTGTAGAATGTACCTAATATATATTAGTGTTTCATAAAAAAAATTAAAAAATATCATTTTACTGTATGAGTTGTAGTTCATTGAAAATAAAAAAAAAAGAGAAAAATTAAAATTCTTGATGTGAACATGCAGTTATAGTGATACTTTTTCTACCCTTGCGCGTAAAGTACACAAGACTTTTGTTGATTCAAATTTTCATACACATCACTACATAGTATTAAACAAAGTCGCTTCCTGCTTTCCCCCTATGTATGCTTAGATCTTTGAAACTACACAACGGAGTTTGATGCGGGCTTTTTGTGATAGGTAGAGTGACTCAAGAAGAAGGTATACATATGTATATTACATTCGTAATATAGTAGAGAAACACTGATAATTTTAGAGATTCCTAATGTGATAGGGTAAATAAACACTTTTTTGCGCTTACATTACAAACGCAGGCTCAAAACTACGAGATACATCAAAATAATGTATTGCAGTATTGTACACCTGAAAAAGGTCTACAAAAAAGTCCAAAAAAGTCCACAATTGTATATGTCTATCTCTTAGGGATAACACACAATAACCATTTTTTATCCTTTACTTTTTACGAAGCGATTTTGGGCAATACAGTATAAATCCTTATCCAATTAAGTACCTTGAACACATTGTGCATTTAGTATAGATCAATATGGCCCTCTACAGCATGTTTAAAAAAATCTGTTCAAAATCTGTTTTTCCGTTAACCAGCTGTCGCACTCCTACGAACGACAATCCTCAGAAGTCGAAACTTGTGCGAGCTAAGGATTAACGAGGTCTTACCTTTTCACGTGTGATTCCTAACAAGGGTTGGACGATAACAAGTGAAAATCGATCGTTCAGACTGGGGCTTAAACCACCGACCAACACGGCAGTCAATTCGAGTGAGTGAACAAAGCACACAGGGGCATCCATGAGTCAGAAACATAAGTGGTCCTTCGATACATCAAAGAATATCCCTGTGGACGATGGCGGAAAGTGAATCCTTACCCCTGAGAAAAAGTGAAAGAAAAACGAAAGGAATGCCACCTGCAAGATGTGTCGACGTCACTCAAGACTTAGGAAAATGCAAACAGGCAGCGATGAATGAAGATGAAGTTTCTTGAAAAATCCAAAGGCAAATGAATTGAAAAGATAAACTAATATACTCCTAACAATGGGTAGCCCCACACATACAAAAAATGTTTCCAATGTTCCACAACATTTCAGAGTGTTCCAAATATGTTCTGATTGAATTCTCTCGAAAACGGAAACCTTCTTCATGGACCGAGTTATTGTGATTCTAGGGCAGACAGAAATGTAGGCATATATATATATATAATGACCAAAACTGATTTTTTTGTGAAGATAATCAGGGGTTTTTTATCTACCTTCTTTGGGTATTTTCACCTTCCACACTATGGAAACTGTTATAGAGAACTTTATGCACGTATAGAATGGGCAAACTTTTGAGTTCACCCCGATAAGTTACTGAGTAAGCCTGTCCACTTGAAATTGAGCGGTGACAGAAATATGTCTATAACTAGCACTTCTGACGAAGAAGTCATTATAGTGGCCGCATTATTAAATGTAGAGGAAAATAGTCACAAAAAAGAATGTTGTGGGTACATCCCATTAATCAAAAGAGGGCAAATCTGGGAGAGTTCCATCATTTTTTCAACGGTCTGAAAGAAGACGAGGAGAAATTTTTCCAGTATTTCCGAATGACTCCAGGCAAATTTTAGAACTTCTGGATATTCTAGAGCCTGCCTTAACAAGCAACTCAATTTTTCCTCGTCCATTATCACAGATACCGTCTGACACTGTGCTGCCAACTGATGGAATAGCAAAACAGAAAGACTGACACTTCCCAGGCACTTTTGGACAAGTTGATGCCGGCAAGCGCTGGGCGGCGGCGGACGCTCTTGGCTGTGCCGTGACGGGCTAGTGCGCGGTTGCCCATTCATTTTCATTGTTTCAATCCTATCCGTATTTTGACGGGACGGGCTGTGCTGTGCTGTGCCGGACAAGTGGGCGATAAGCTTAAATTCAAATTATTTTTTACTACAATGTTCTATTTATCAGTAACTAATAAACAATACTTCACGCGGTAACTTTTCGGGGTGAGCTAAGAAGTTTGGCCATACTACACGTGTATAAAGTCCTCCATTACAATTTTCCTACTTTTCAAATTGTGAAAGTATATGTCAACGTCGAAGATTCTCACGGACAAAGTATGATAGGTATTTTTTCGGGTTTCGCTCCGTGTTCTGTGTTTTTGATTCTCACAAGGATGGATACCCCACGAATACTTTCACCATCAACGCTGGTGTTCCCCAGGAATCCATATTGTCTCTAACCCTCTTTTTATTGTATATAAACGACTCATTGGAAAAAACCAAGTACCCAATTTGCTGACGACAGCACACTCGTCATTCCATATGGATTCCAGGACATCGGCTAACGAAGCACATCTTCACCGGCAGCAGGAGGTTGCACATCTTAATGAGGATCTAGAAGTGATTTCGAATTGCGGTGAACGAAACCAGGTTCAATTCAATGTTACAAAAACCCAGGCATCGGTTTTCTCCAAGAAAATAACTGTCTCTGACCCAGATAGAATAATATCAAGTCAGACAATTCCGCTTTCTGCTTCGATAAGTTTGTTGAGGTTAAAATAGATACCAATATGTCTTGGCACAATCATGTCGCTGGAATTGCAAAGGCTGTTTCTCAAAAGCTTGATACACTGTTCCGAACCAGAAAACTGTACATACCTCGGCAACTTTTGATGCTTTATAAAGCTCAGATCTGACCTTCTTTGGAGTATTGTTCTCATGTATGGACCTCTGTCGCCAAACATACCCTGAAGTTNGTGCCTTGGCACATTTGATTCCACCAAGAGCGGTTCATGTCAGAAATACGCGACGGACTGTGGCTGCTAATCGTTTTCAGGTTCAACTCAGTACAGCCCGAACTTCATTATTTAAGACCTCTTTCATCTGGAGAACTGCGTTTATGTGGAATAAACTTACGGAAAACGTTTTTCCAAATGGATTTAATCTCCAGCGATATAAATCCAATTCAAATCAAATCGCAGAGGCACCGCTCTGAGAGCGCCTTAAGGATTCTCCTGTAGTGCTTGTGTTTTGTCCTCAAAAAAAAAGTCTCAATTGCCATCTTCTGGTGATGTCTGTAGTTCAGTGTAGTCTACTTTAAACTAGTCTACTGTAAACATGGAATTACGTGAAAGAAATTGTACTTTTCGAACAACTACTCCCGTATGAACTAGTCTAGTTCCAAACTCCAGACATTACCAGAAGATGACAAATGGAACTTTGCCGGAACGTTGTGAAAATAATCCTTGTGAGGATCACGAAGCGAAACCCAAACAATTACAAATTGATCACATTCCTAAATCATTTTAGAATTCATGTTTCGTAATTTTTTTTCAGAATGAAACTTACGAATAATTTGAGTTTTTGGTAAATATTCAATAATGAAATATATCAGTTGTAGGTACCTTAGTTGGAAATTTATATTTTTTTAATGGATTTTTCATGAAATCTAAAATCATCTCCACTTTTAGTGCATTATGCAGTAGATATGAAAATAATGTAATTTTAAATGATCAGGACTGAAGATGCAAATAGCTAGTTCTGAGTCTATACTAAATATTCTCACAAAGTTTTTCCTCACAGAATATCTGTAAATGGGAAATAATATCGATTGTACCAACCAATGCCATGAATTGGATTTTTCAAAACTGCCAAACCGTGATTTTATCTTGGTGAAGAACTATTCCCGGTGTTTCATTATCCAAAAAATTCAAAATTTCAGAAAGTTTGACTCTATTAGTAACAGACTTGTTCGATTCTGAAAACTGCAACTGCAAACTATCGTCAACAAAATATTCGATATATCTATCAGAAATTCAGGAACATCAACATTGATTAAACATTATTTCGATGTATTCATCAACTAAGATATAAGTAGAATTTCACTTCGGACATTCACCTCAAGTCAATTTCATGAAAAAATCTCGAAAGTTTTTTGTCAGGTATTCGAATTCAGTGAACATAATTTCATGATTTATTTTATTTGTAGTTTCACGGTACATGGTGAAAGTTCACATGTGATTATAATCCTATTTTAATTCAATTAGGCAATAAATCGGATATCGACGTATTTCTCCGGGGTATTTATAGCTTGAAANTATCAAAATCAACAAAATTTTCTATTGGACAGACTCTGAAACTGTTATAGGCTGGATCAAATGAAAACCCACAATTTTT